AATGGAACTCTGGCGCCTGTATTATTGTATTGTATTATGTTATTACTGTATTATGGACTCACTGCCACTACTCACAAGTGCCGCCGGTTCAACCAGGAGCAAACCTTCAGGGTGTGCCAAATTTTAGAATTTTAAATGATATATGTCAGGTGCGTAAATGACAAATCAGGGCAGAAGATCGATAAAAAGTCCATAACAAATGAATGATGATGAATGAAAAAATTATTTTAAATTATATACATGAATTGATCGACATACAAATGTGAAGAAAAAAAGAACAGTCCCGAAATTCTGTCATCATATTACTCTATAATTGTACTGTACTCTAAAATAAAATTATAAAAATGCATGTCACACTAAATTCTATTCCACCAATAAAACTACAGGTGCAATAAATTTTATATTTCAGAGCTTTTATCCTTCACTACATCAGCCTGTTTACCGCAAGGGCAATCTGCTGCCTCAACCTGTCGTGCTGTTTATGACTTTCCAACTTTTATATTCAGCACATGCTATTTGGAGGACATGTTTATCCAAACTTTATTATAGTACAGTACCATGAATGCATGCGTTTTGAATCTCCAAAGACCCGATGGGAATCAACCCTTAACCTTGGCTCTGTCATTGCCATGATTTATTTTTAAATTATGTTGATTTTTCCATCAGACTGTGCATATTTATGCCACATACACCTTGGTGTTTGCAGGTAGATGAGAGGTTTTAAAAGTGGAGTCATGTCTGTTCTAAAGCACAATATGAGGTACCAGGACCTACTCAGATAATATTATGATTGGCCAAGTGAAAGCTCCTGCTCTTAGAAGAGTTCAACATTAAATGTGCCTTGCATAAAATCAGCAAGGGCTGAAGGGCTGTAACAGGATCCCTCTGTTCAGTTGTACTCTGCTACATGCTTCATACACACCACTTTAGACAAAACTGAGTTTAAATTGATTTCAGTAATGCTAGACTAAAAGAGACACCTGATGGTTAAATATAAAGTTTATTTCTCAACTCATTCACTACAGCGCACCAGGGTACCAGACAGACAGAGTGACTGACAGACAGACAGATGGTCAGAGGGGGAGATGGGAGATGAGCAGCAGTGACTGACATGTATCCAGCCCTGTGTGAGCCACATGCCACAGTCATTCCCTCTCAGCCAGGCAGAAAAGCACCGCTCTTGTCTCTGCGGGCTGCGAGCTGCCAAACACTGCAGCTTTCCTCCTCGTGAACAGGGCTCTGAACCCAAACCCTTTGGCCAAGTGCAAGAGAGGTATTAGGGCCCATGTCAAAACAGCTTACAGCCAAGCAGTGTGCTCTAAAAGGCCCAGGTCTATTCATGGAGTCATTCAAAGTGACAGCACCCTGAGCCTCCTGCTCTCTGACAACCCTGTGCACTGGAGTGAGGAGGTTTGGTGCTTGGCTTATGTTAAGGAACATGGCGTCGCTCTTTGTTAATGTTGGCAGCTGAGGGCAAGTTCTTGAAAACAGGAGTTTTCCTTTAAGAAAAAAAGCTCAGTCCGTGCTGCTGGCAGCATTTACATGCAGGGAGAAGGCCAGGTACTGACCATGCTTTGATTGAGATCTCATTCTGGTTAAACTGTTTACTTGAATACAGCTGAGTTGAATCTTTGTGTTTTCTTGGAGAAATAAGCCACTTGCCACATCCTCAAGTGAACAACAATCTGACAGAGGAAAAAAATAACTGCCACCATGTCATTTGTTGACATCAAACTGTACGCAAACTCCTTTGAGACAGCACAGACAAACCAGATGGAGCAAAATGTTTCTGTGTCACTGTAACCCTTTTAACATCACAGTATAAACCCTAATCACAGTTCTTGTGAACAGAGCATGTGCCTAACCTGGTTAACCAATGTAAGATGTGCACAAATGTTGGCTCAAATTCAAGCCACCAATGAAGAAAAGTGTGTGGGTGTATAGTTATAAGCACTGTTGGCAGCTTGGAGGTATTTCTACAGGTGCTGCATCTGCACTCGTGTCTTTTTGAATTACAGCCAACAAGTTCTCAGAAATCAACAGCAATGGCTAGAAATATTAGTTTGCTGTGGCGCTAGCTAGTTCGGCAGCTTGAATCCTTCACTGTTTGTTTATTCTTCACTTTTAATGATTCATTCACACTTGCATGCTTTACACTGTATTTTTGTCAGTTGCCTTATTTATATATCTTTATATATAATTTGTGTGAACTAATCTCTTCATATATGATTTGTCCTGGGTTCATCAATTTGAAATCAATTGGTAATAATCAAACCATTCTAAAAACAATCCCAAATCATTTCTCTATATGTCATGTAAGATTTAGGTTGCAGTTTAAGTAGGAGCATTGTCAAAATTTGGTAACAAAGTTGATCTTATGCATAAATTTCAAGTCTGTAAAGATCAAAATGACTCCTGAGGCAAGATGCCTCCCCAGATCTGCATGAAACTGGGTGAACATAATCTAGGGACCAATATCTAAAGTTCCCTCTTGGCAAAAGTTGGAAAACTTACTAAAACTGAGCTTCTATAAGGCAATGAATATTGCGGAGGGCGTGGCTCATCACATAAAGGTGTATAACATCTCAAGGGTTTCACCTATCACCACTCAACTTTGTAGGCATATGACCACACATAATCTGAGGGGACCCCTCCATTATTGACCCCATCAAACAAAATGGGGGCACTAGAGAGCTAATTTCTTATCTAGGCCTAACTGCCATATCAATTTTTACTGAACGTGGTAGATATGTAGAACAGGACGCATCAAGGTGACTGGAGAAATTTAACTCTAACTGGCAACTGGGTGGCGCTATAACAACAGAAACATGCTTAAAAATGGCTAAAATGCGACCGATCGCTGTGGCTCCCCCTGTGGCCAAATGTTGTTGTTTTTTTCTAATTTTTGGTATGACTAAGTCATGTTATGGTATGCTGTACATAATCACGGAAACTGTCAATGTGTCATTCTGTCAGTCAGTCATTCTGTCTGTCCCATGTTTTTCTTCTCACTGACGTGGTCAATCTATATGAAACTGCACATAGGCATTGAGGACTGGCATAGGTAGAAGGTGACAAAGCTACCAGTGGGTATGGACTAGTTGAGACTACATATAATATTGATATTCAACTGCTCATTAAATAAACAGTCTTTTCAAAATGAACTTAAAACATATGTAAAACACTTTTTTGGTAACTAGTAATATGTAATGTATTACATTTTTAAAATAACTTGCCCAACACTGCACATGATATACGTCTTGAAACAGATGTCACTAGTGTGGCACGCATAGCACTCTACGTGTGTTATTAAAATAACTCGATTGACTTTTGGTTTCACATAGTAAAGGCACAGCAGGCTCCCAGGTGAAGGTCTTTTTTGTCCCATCCAGTGAGAAAAGGCTGGTCAAACTCCAAAAATATCACATCCAACCCAAGTTGTTAACACAGGCTTTGTTATCCTTGAAGTCCCCAAGCCAAAACAAAAAACCTTTCATGGCATCATTGGAGTTATTTTCTCCGATCAATTCAGAGTAAAATATTCTTCATGTGTAAAGCTGGTGCATGTTCCCTTAAATATCTTAAAAGACACTTTGCTAATTAAGGCGATAAAGATGTGGAAATCATGATATTTGAATCAAATTCAAAGGTCAGTTTAACTCATAGACTTTAAAAAATTATGGACGTAGACACTGTGACATCACCCATTGGTTTGTGGATTCCCGTTTTAAGGCCTCAACTAAACTTTGGCCGCCACCAAATGATCTGACTCAGAAGCCAAGGACGCTATCGGCAGACAGCCTGTAACTCATAGCAGCCCACCATTAATTATGAGTAATTTTAAGCCTTAATAAAATGTAAACAGTTGCCATGAATGGGGAAATTAGCTAAAGAGACCAAAACCATTTGTTGTACCAGGCTGTAAAAACGTTTATTTTTTTTTGCTGCAAAGTTGGGCATCTGTGGGGATTGACTCACTTCCTGAGCCTCAAATCACCGTGCAAAGAACTATGGCACTTCTAAGTATGTTTGCTTCATGTTTCAGCTCCTATAATATATATAATATATATTGTATTTTAGAAGTTGGGGATTCAATAAAAATATCAAGGGTTTGCAAGCAAATTATAATCAAGCAGATTAGTTTGCTAACAGCAATTGAAGCAGGCAATTAGTCATTTGTAATGAATAAAAAATTGAAAGTCCAAAATTTGGGTACCTAAAGGAATAACAAGAAAGCAGCGAAGAAATACATCTTTGTCAATACCTTTCTATTCTGTTTGTGAATATTCTCAACAGTGTTTGTTCTGTTTATCAGTAACCAGAGCTTTCGACCCTTGACCTGTTTGGCTGCTTGTAATGTTGCTAAACAAGGTGTTAAAGTCACTCTGAATGAATGGAACAGGACACAAAGGCACCTGACAAGTAAGTTTCAGTGTGACATTACTGGTATGTACGGCAGAAAGGATCCAATATCACTCTCTTCTGAGCTAGAGACAGATTGTCCTGGCAAGCTAAATAAACAGTAGATTAATCTGTCTTCTTGCTGCAAGCTGACAAAGTCAGTCATGGATGAAATCGAGGCTTTTGACAGGTAGCCTTTCAAGATGAAGCACTGATAGTGAGAACTTGAGAAGGAAACTCTGAAATTTGAGGCTTGTGTCAGACAGATAAGAACAAATGTTGAAATTCAAGGGGTTGCTCATGACATTGCTATTGTTATGTAGGACTGAGAATTAATTTGAAAAAATGACAAACTCCAGGTGGTAATTTTGATATCACAATATTGATATTTTATCATTAACTTTATTCTGAAAGACCCACTTTTGAAGCTGCACTGACAGTATATGAATCAGCCTTTAATAAGTACACTCATGAACTCAGCTCAGGTGCGTACATGCCACAAAACAAGTCTGCATTCATAACAGGAAATGTTGGTCAGATAATATCTATGAAAGGCTTTTGACACTATCCCAGAGCTGCAGCAGGTTTCAGGGGAGCTGCGCAGGGCCGCCCTGGTGAGCAGCAGGCTTGTCTTATCAGACAAGGCCTCATGCTGTCAGCACAGCGAGTGTTGAGTCTGCTGCGCAACACTGACATCGTCCAGACACCCACAAACTCCACAAGGGAAGGAACTGTGAGTTGTCTCCAAACCTCTCTTTTTTAATATAATGAAAGCATCTCCTGTATGTCATGTTACATGAGTGTACACTGTGATTGACTGTCACATTTATAAGAAACAGAAAAGGGACAAATTGCATGCAGAGACAATATTTTTTAGGGACTGTATGAAAGTGATTGCGCTGAGTAAGGGGGCTTTTTCACTTTCTAAAAAAAATCCTTCTTTGAACCCTCCCCTTAACTCATAAAAAATGTAATACTTTCCAAAATAATAGAGCATGAAGAACTTAACATTGCAACCACTTTTAAATTGTAAGAGAACATTCATTTTCACATTGTGGACCACTGAGATGCAAATTAAAGAGGACCTATTATGCTTATTTTAAGGTTTATACTTCTCATACTGTCTGTGCTGGAACACCTGTATTCCCTCTCTTTCTAAACATGCCTGTCTCTTTAAGCCCTCTCCCAAAAAAGCCTGTCTGCTCCGATTGGTCAGCATTTATGGGTTTCCACATCTGCACTGTCAGTGTTTCTGCACCGTCATTGCATTCAGGGAATGACTGTAAAGGAGTGTAATGACACTTTCTGGTGTGAAAATTAAAACTTTTAAACAAAAATCTTTCATGTTCCAAATGTTCCAGCAGAACAGCAGAGAAATGTAATAACATCAGCAACCAAGATTACTGGTTACTCTGATGTTAGCGTGTAGCTACATGTAGCGGTGTATGAAACAAAGGAGGAAATTGTAAATAGTCTTTATTGTGGTGACTAAATCAATAAAGAGCCAACACATTTCTTACAGTAGTGTGCCCGTAGATGTCCATATAAAGAAATCTGTCACAATCTGACGTCAGTTTGCCACAAAAGCAAAAAAAGAAAAAAGATTGGAAACAAAGTATTCAGAAGGGTGTAAAGGAGTTTTTGCTCACAGAGATTACTTTTACATATGTTTACCTCATTATTTGAAACTTTGGCAACTTCTAACATGAACATCTGATATTGTAACATCAAATCCGGTATATGCCAGAAAATAAAGAAAAGCATAATCGCTCCCTCTCAGTGAAACATGCAATCTGTCTCACTTATGGCAAACATAATAAAATGAGGTACATGTATCCTGTTTACATTCCATCGGTTGTGTGTCTCTGAACAAAAAGCTACTAACTGTGAAGTTATTACCACTGTCACTGAATGAGTGAACAGGACAGTGGCCGGGCTCTGGCTTCTGCATGACTTGAACATTTTAATATTTTCACCCCATTCAGCAATTCCAAATAAGAAAAATGTCTTTATTTCCATGGCTCCACAACAGTATGTTTTGAATAAATGTTAATAAAATAAACCTCACAAGGAAAGGTTGAAAAAATAAATAGTATAATTAATACAACCCTCACTTGAGAAAAGCGTGCAATACTCTCCCCTTTTCAGACCCTCTCTCCTCCTCTAATAATGTTCATACAGTCCGTTATTTTATGATATCCTTTATGGCTCCCACTGTGTTAACTGTCAGTATGGCTGCATATTGAATGACTTATTGTAGGAGTCCTTTATGTAATGATTCCCCACCTGTTTGGAATAAAGTAAATATTTGCTCCACATTATGCAAAAACACTCTTGTGCTCCATTACATGAAGACAATATTCTACCAGAAACTGGATGCTAGCCATTGGCTGCAGTTCACCACCAGTATAATAACAGATAATGCCTATGATACATTTTGCTCCACTAAATACTCAATATACAGAGAAACAGTGCTGAAGCACCATCGATAATCAGTTAACTGACTGAGAGAAATGTAAATGAAAACAATTTTCCTTAAATTAAAATAACCCTCCAGCTATTCACTTCAAGTATATCAGGTATAAATTTTAAGAGATTATCATTAGTAGCAGCATTATTATAAGCACTGAGTGTTTCACATGAAAATGGAAAATAGAATTGTAAAACCAAAAATTGTAAAATCAAGTAAAATACAATATTTTAAAAGAGTTGCAGCAGTGTGAAGCATAAAAAGAAGGAGTTTCATACATGTATTAGCAAAGACAGAGCTAGTGAAAGGCTAAAGTGAACAGATGTTTTTTTAGCCTTCTATTAAAAATATTTAACGAGTATGTGTTCCATAGCTTTGAGGCATAATTGACAAAGGCTGCATCCCCGATCTTCTTCCCGCTGTTGCAGGGAACCTCCAATAAACCAGCAGCAGATGATCACAGTGTTCTTGGAGGCAAATAGTTAACAAGGGAGTTAGCAACGTAGCTTGGTCCCAGCCCATTTAGGGCTTTGTATATAAGGAGGAGGGCGTTAAAATCAATGTAACAGGAAGCCAGAGAGCAGCTAAGACGTGTCTGATGTGCTCTCTCCTCTTTGTTCTGGTTAATAGTTGAGCTGCAGTGTTGAATAAGCTGAAATCTCAGTAAGAAGTGCATTACAGTAGTCAAGTCAGCTTGAAATAAGGGCATGAATCAATTTCTCTGCATCTTTGTCATTTAGAAAGGCACATTCACTGGTTCCAGCTTTTCAAATGTAAAAGATTGCTTCTCTTCACTACTTTGTAATATTAAGGTAATTCCTCTGAAATCAAAACTTCTAATAATTACAACACAGCTACCAAAACTCAAAAACATGTCTGAGACCTTTGTCTCTATCTTATCTCTGATTACTGCCAAATGATGATGTTACTTCTATGAAGCTCAATAGGGAGTTACAAGGAAATTACAGACTCATGAAATAAGCTTCTACTGAAAAAATAACCTAATGGATAATGAAAGTAATCCTTAGTTGCAGCCTTAGGATATAACAATCATTCATTGGTTGTGTATGAGCAAAGCATGTTTAACTATGTTTACTTTTTGTATGGTGTAGGAAAAGAGATAAGAAGTGGTAGGCGTATGTAAATAAATTAGTATTAAAATTAGCCTTTAAGGGCAATTAATCCAAACAGGTGTACACCTGTAGACTACACATACACTGACAAATACTCAAAGGCAAACATACATGTATGTGTATACAGTCACTAGCTTTACACCCTGTTCACCATATACATAAGTAAACATACGTATTTAAACACACACACAAACACAGAGCAGACACAGGTGGATTTCAGCCCTCATTCTTATAATTACTTAGCAGTGTTGAGCAACATACCAACACGCAGCAACCATTTAGTTCTTTCTCAGTGTTGCCCTACAAGACACTGTCATTTAGAGGCTTAGAGGAAGAACGTTACAAGCTAAATTCCTCTGCTTAGAGTGAGTGAAAATACCAAGCAGACCCACTGCACGGTACAGTACAACATGTGTGCTTCCCATCTGGTCTGCATGCTCACTGTAATCAGCATAAGAGCGTACACTGTGTTTCGAGAGCTCAACCTCTTATTTGGATGGCTATCTGAGGAAGTGGTTTTCAGCTGTACATCCGAGGGATCCTCTGCCCACTCCCCGCCTCAAGTGTTGCTACCTGGTTCAAACCAGATGGCTTTAGGCTAGAGCTGCAGCAGCCACAGTGAAGGCGAAGTGTGAGCGCTGTAGAGTATCTGAAACTGTGGCTCAGACTTGGATGAGGGGAATATTTGATATGATGGAATACATGATAGAACAAGTGTCTAAGATGTAAAATGAAATATTTTAATATCAAATTAACTGTGAGTGAGGGGAAGCGGGATTGATGGGAGTTGGAAGATGATGCACCCAGTGACATAGGGTTGGAGGGGATGAACTGTTAAACCATAAGGATTAACTTTGGCCTTGTCTGCTGTCTGCCTGTGTGTTGGGGAGCGGGCGGGTTTGACAAATTGACTGACAGACAGATGCATCTCGGTAGATCACATACATACACACACACACACACACACACACACACACATGAAATACTAAGCAGAAGGAAAGCAGCAGGAGGAAGGAAGGAATGAAGGAGAGTGAAATTTAAGAGTGATGAGCACTGAAAATAGCAGTTCTGCCAAAGAGACAGTTCCCCTCTAAACTGAGATGGTTTCATTTAAAAGTTTGAGGACTAAAGAGGTGACATTATAAAAAGCTAAATTAGTTTAAAAAAAAAAGAAAGACAGATGTGTGCATCAGAATTCAGTTTGCCCATTAATCATGTCATGACCTCCTTGATTTATGACGTGACCTGTTGAAGGGGCCTGACTGCCAGGTTGGGAACCACTGGACTAAAATACCTATCTGTTGTTTAAACTAGTTCCACCACAGCTAGCAACCACAATAAAATACTACTCACACATCAATGCATTAGTCTAAAAATAACCTAATAATGTTATATATGATGACAAAACACATGGGGGCCATTTTTCTGCAGAGCAAGTACTTTTACCTTTGACACTTTAAAGGTTCTGTTAGAATATTCTGAGCATTAAGAAAGCAGCAAATCACTCTTTGATATGTAATGGTATAGTGGAGTAATGGCATCCTGAGCAGAGAATAAAGTTATGCTATCTCCATGTACATGTTGTAATCCAAGCTTCTTTGTTCATTGTGGATGTAGACAGTCCAGCCGTCATGCATCTTAGTGCGAGGGAGCCCTTGTGTGTTTATACCACTGGCTAACTTATCACCACAGCCCTGCAATGAGCTTATTTGGCGGTAACTGGTAAAATCAGGACAGTGTTATTGTGGAGCCGTAGCTCTGACCCTCCAGTTCCCCCGAGCTTAACACTGTCAGCACTGTTGCTGTTATTAGCACTGTTAACGCTGCTCGCCATCTGCGCAGCTACATCTGCATTGAGAGTCGTGTGCAGACAACCTCCGAATTTTACATATGCTCTTAATATCGTGTAGAGCTCCTTTAAGTGCATTTCGTTCATTACACCTATTGCAGACCACTGCAAAGTTGACAACATAAAATTTCTAAATGCATACCTTTGTATTTTCTGTTGGAATGTTTGTTAATGCAATAGGCGCCAGAATGTAGACAAGGACCAAAGCTGCGAACATATTTTCTGTTTTACCTTACACGCTAACCAATCAAGGCTGCGGTGGGTTTGATGTAACTGCTTCA